CAACATTAACAAAGCACAAATACAAATTCAAAAACACAACAACATTAACGAAGCACAAATACAAATTAAAAAACACTACAACATTAACGAAAACACAACAACATTAACGAAAACACAACGGAAATGGTATGTCCCAGTGGAGGACCTAAGAAGTCGCTGATTGGACTACAGCTCGTTTTACTTGTGTTTTTGAATTTGTATTTGTGCTTTGTTAATGTTGTAGTGCATTCGTTAATGTCGTAGTGTTTTGCACCTCAGGTCCACCGTAAAAAACTGACCACAAACAGAATCAGAATCAGAGTCCGAATCAGGTTTATTGCCAAGTAGGTTTTTAGACTTACAAGAAATTTGCCTTTTTGGTGTTTATTGCACAACACAACACTTCTATGAGAAGCAAGAAATAAAATGTAGAAATAAAAATATAGGACAGAAATGATAAAACTGAAAAATGCAATCTTTAAAAATATAGATCTGAATGTACAAATGAACAATCTTTAAAAATATAGATCCGAATGTACAAATGAACAATCTTTAAAAATATAGATCTGAATGTAAAAATGAACAATCTTTAAAAATATAGATCCGAATGTAAAAATGAACAATCTTTAAGAATATAGATCCGAATGTAAAAATTAACAATCTTTAAAAATATAGATCCGAATGTAAACAGGAGGAGAAAAAACAGTCCTCAGACCTCCTCAGGATCCGGGCAGAGTCTGGTCCAAAAAGCAAAAACAAAAATCTGCATAATTAAAAGAACATTTAAAAGTTGTGGAGGTTCATATGAGTGTGCTAAACAGTTTAAATCTGGTCAGAGACATTTAATTTCTTCCGTTTCTGGAGCCAATGGAGGAAAAAGGCCAAAGAAAACCCGGTCTAAAAGACAGGAAACAGGGGTGCCTTTTTGGGAGGAAACAGCTGGAGAGCAGAGTCCTGAAAACTTCTGGAAACTGGACCAGGGGAGAGAAGAAGAAGAAGAAGAGCAAAAAATATAGCAAAAATGGCCAAATAGAACAAAATTAGAGCTAGAATGAACCAACAAAGCAAATATAAAACTAAAATGACCAAAATAGAGCAAAAACAGAGCTGAATACAGAAACTGAATGAAACCAGGACCCATGTGGACGTTATCTAGAGCAGTGTTTTTCAACCCCTGGTCCTCGGTACACTAGTGTGCCGTTAGTGATGGTCAGGTGTAGAAAATCATCCTATTTCATCTAATTGGTCTAAAAAGATTTTTTGATAAGGAATTAATTATCTGCAAATAATATTCCATTTCTGAGTGTGTGTGCTGTTCTAGTGACTGGTGGAGTAATCATGTAATAATTCCTTATGAATAGATTTTGTATATAATTTTGTATATTGAAGTGGACATGTTAAGAGCAATTTGAAAGAAGAAATATAAAATATGATTAAAATACATTGTTGTGTTTAATTGATTCCTATTCAAGACACTTAAGATAAGATAAGAATAAAATAAGAATAACTATAGTGTT